CTTCTTCTTCTTCTTCTTCTTCTTCTTCTTCTTCTTCTTCTTCTTCTTCTTCTTCTTCTTCTTCTTCTTCTTCCTCCTCCTCCTCCTCATCATCATCATCATCATTCCCGGCTTCGGCTTCTTCTTCTTATTGGTCTTCTTTTCCGGATGTTACTCTGCAGGATATCTGAAAGTGCAAACAGAGTCTCTTTCGGAAGACTCCACTGTGGCCAAGATGATGCGTTTGGTGGAGGAAGCACAGAGTCGTTCTTCGCCGACAGAGAAGACGATTGAAAAGTTTGCCAAGTACTACACGCCTGTAGTGGTGTTCGGGGCTGTGCTTCTGATAATCATCCCTCTGTCATTGAGGGTCAGACATGCATACAAATGGGTTGAGCTTGCACTTTTCCTGTTAGTGACTGCTTGTCCATGTGCCCTGGTCATCTCCACACCTGTTGCAACCGTGTGCGCCATCACCAAGGCTGCCAAAATGGGAATACTAATTAAGGGAGGCGCTCATCTGGAAGCCATTGGAAATCTAACTCAGCTCGCAATGGATAAAACCGGTACAATTTCGGAAGGACGGTTCCGTGTCCAGAATGTCAGCCCCACTGACCCTGAGGTTGACGTTGACCAACTCCTTTACTGGTAAGTGTGCCTTCTCGACGCACTGACTGAGCCATGATAATAATAATAATAATAATAATAATAATAATAATAATAATAAAATAATAATAATAATAATAATAATAATAGTAATAATAATAATAGTAATATAATATGGGGGAATTGCAGAAAGAGTAGACCCATGCCATATGTCTCGTGGAAATCTGAGGGCCTACTTGGCCGCCCTCAGCCCAGGCCGAAACAGGGGAAAAGACCCCACACGAATTCAGGGCCTGGGTGTGTGACAGTTGACTTCAGTCAACTGTCAGTTCACCCAACAGTCAAAGTCAAAAGTGTACCCAGCCCAGGCCGCCGGTCGGACACACACATTTGTTTGTATGCAGGTACCCAGACAGCATCAGGTCCAAGGGGGAAGTCTGCAACTGTGCAATCCAGGTCCTCGGTTGCAAGGCAATCTGGACGACTGTGGGAAAGGCAACCGAGGCCAGACAGCCTCGACAAATGCTACTTAAGGCTGGCCTCGAGCTGGTCAAGCATTCAGTCTTGCTATGCTGCTTTGACGCTGGCTCGACTTTGACAAGACGCTGGCTTTATGCTGGCTCTACGCTGGCTCGACGCTGGCTAGACGCTGGCTGTGCACTGGCGATGCGGACGACGGCATGAGGAGGCGGCAGCATGCTGGCGTTTCTTGTTCTGTGCGCCAGGCATGATGAAGTGGCATGCTGATGTGGTGCTAGCTCTACATTGTATGCTGATGTGGTGCTGCCTCTGGTCTACATTGCATGCTGATGTGGCGCTGCCTCTGGTCTACATTGCATGCTGATGTGGCGCTGCCTCTGGTCTNAACCCCTTATAACCCCCCTATAACCCCCCTATAACCCCCCTATGCCCCCCCTATACCTCCCCCATAACCTCCCGTATCCCTCCCCCATCCCCAAAAGTTTCTCACCGTATTTGGGCTGTACTCAGCAAGCGCAGTACAGCCGTGAACTCAGATTTGAAAAAACAACACAGTGGATGGATCGTCCTCTACAGACTGCCGACCGGTCTGCCTATGGGTAGGCCCGACTGGTAGGCAAGCCGACAGCCTACGGTCGGCGTTGGCCATAGCGGTCTGACAACCCTGAACAAAACGATAAAAAGACAAAACAATGCAAGATCATAAAACTTTAGAATTTTAAGTTTTAACATAAAGAATATGAAGATGATCTTAGAATCTGTTGAACAACAACATACCACGTTTTTCTGTTTCTTAGAGAGAGCAGAGTGGGAGGGTGTTTGGGTGTGGGGGGAGGGAGCATATGGTTCGAGCAGGCAGAACATAACTTTTGTTACTTTTCCCCTCCTCCTTTTTCAACCGCCAGTAAGTTGGAACTTGGAAGCCTACGATTAAGGTTTACAACTTTACATTATATAATTATGATTTTTCCTTCTTTTTCGTTGCCTTTTTTTCTTTCGATTTTTGTGTGTGATCCTCGCGCAGAGGTCATGCTGACCTCCTCTGTATAGATCCAATTTTTACGAAGTCCCGAAGGACCTTTGACTTTTGCGAGGATCTGGGTCCTCGGCAGGCCTAAGGGGCCCCTTACAGCAAATGTACTCTCCCTAAGTGAACGCGGGCCTAACAAATTACGAGAGGCCCTTGGCTGTCAATTTCATACTTGGGGTCCAGGCAGTTTCGTCGCGCCAGTTGGTTGGAGGAAAACACAGGCTGAGCAGCGTGGAAATTCCCAGGCCTTCCAGGCCTTTCCGAAAGCACAGGCCCTGGGCGAGATTCGCAGCCTCATTCACAGACAGTTGGGAGGCCCAACCGAATGAGGCCCAGTAGCTGCACCAGAGGCGCAGCATCCTGGGACCTACCGGAAGCTTCCGGGCCCAGGCCAGTCCAGCAAGGCTGCCGAATGAGGCAGGCTCTTTCCATATAGGAAAGAGCTCGCTGCCTGGCCAGGCATTCGGGTGCTCGCATGCTGGCGGTAGCGCTGCTGGAGCTGAAGCTCGCGGGCTGCTGCTAGCGCTGAGAGGCGAGGTGCGAGCACGTGCGGTCGTGCAGGGAACAGGGCGCTGCTGTGGGCAGCGCCATAGCCCAGCCTCCATAGCTGGCAGGGCTTGGATGTACAGTGAGGCGCAGGGGTGGTCTTCGGGTGTATACAGGGAAGACGTGGGAGAAAGTCAGGAGAGAAAGAGAGAAGGATGATGATGATGATGATGATGATGATGATGATGATGATTATGATTATGATGATGATGATGTGAGGGCACATACCTGGTATTGGCGATGGTTCTGCATGGGCGACATCTTCAAGTACTTCGGGTGCTGCTGATGTCAACAGTTGCATTGTCAATTCATAGGCCAGTTGTAGCTGTGTAGGGAGTAGGCTGGGCGCCGAGCGCCAGATAGGGAGATAGGGACTGGATACATATGTTGGTGGTGGCGAGAGCAAGCTCTCATTGACATTGGCTTTCAGTGCTACTATTCTCTATTGGTGTCATATTGGTGCAATGCTACTTTCTGAACAGTGTGTTATGATTTGGCTTTCAATGTGATTGTGCAATCTGAATATTGTCATCTCGCTTCTGTTCATTTTCCTTGCACTTTTTTTTCCCGGGAAATTAGAGTTTTTGAGTTGTCATTGAATGACTGAACTGAAGTAACTGAATAGCGAAAAAGAGTGGTCAGAGAAAGAAAAAACGTCAATCAAAATTCCGGTATTGCAGTGTTCATCTACGCTTTTCATTGCACAATTGCTTTATGTGTGCTTCTCGATTATTATTTCCTTGTTGTCAATGACAAGGAAGGAAAGACCATTAATTTGCCCACCCTCATTCCTCTTCTTCTTCTTCTTCTTCTTCTTCTTCTTCTTCTTCTTCTTCTTCTTCAAATTCTTCGTCCTCCTCCTCCTCTTCTTCTTCTCCTCCTCCTCCTCCTCCTCCTCCTTCTCCCCCTCCTCCTCCTTCTCCTCCTACTTCTTCTTCTTCTTCTTCTTCTTCTTCTTCTTCTTCTTCTCTTCTTCTTCTTCTTCTTCTTCTTCTTCTTCTTCTTCTTCTTCTTCTTCTTCTT